TTTCCGAACTTTCTTTAATTCTATGGCATCCAGACACACCACCCAAAATCATTCTTGGATCTTGAAACCCAAGAATTTCCTGCAATGTCGAAAAATGTTTTTTATTCAATATTCCAATATCCCATAATATTGGTGGGTGGCATCCAGACGGGCCCTTAGATTTAACCCAAATCCAATAATTCCACGGGGGTTTATTATACTCGTTGAAGAAGTCCAAAACGCCATATTACAAAATGGGCCTTTTACCTCCATTTTGAAAATGGCATTTTTGGTTGTCCCATTTTGCCAGAAAATGGAATATTATTTGTGAAATGTTACCAGACGCACCCTTATTGCAAAACAATTTTGTGGATAGGGTAAATCGCTTCTCAAATCGAAGGAGTGGTTCGTATACTGTACTCATTGCTGGCCTGCAGTCTCCGTCAAATGGATCAGGTCCTTGATGAGATATCAGGCGAGAGCCTGTTCATTTTATTACTACGTAGTACATCTGACAGTACAATCCGTGGCAAGCTTACAGCATCCCCACCGTTGCGACTGTAAACGCTATTTTACATTTCTATCCGGATTATTTACAGTTTTGACAACCCCTCCAGGCGACTGTAAAATAAGGAAACTGTATAATTTTACCGCGAGACTGCAAATCGGCTAGATTTACAGTCGCGACTGTAAAATACAGTTTTGACGAAATAGCCAATAACATGTTATCAATGGATAATTTTGTCCAATCATCGGTGTGATGTAGATGATGGAAAGCCAATAATCACTTTCCTTCCAGCAAACGGATCCTTCAACTGCGCTCGTGGCTCACACTTCACTGTGCATTGGCCACCCAACCAAAGCACAACCTTCACTGAGCAGTGACACAAGTTCTCAGGTGTGAATGACCGATTTTCCTTGCTTCCATCAACCTTCCATCAACCCGTTGCTTAGAACAGTCGTCATTCCGAACCGCATCGTCCATGGTGAGTCCATATACTTCGAAGTACCTAAAGTGGCGGCCTACTATTGACTATACTGTATAGGGTGGGAAGGTGGTCAAGGATCGCACAAGAGAATTCCACATCATCACCAGGCCCCTAAACCAGATAATAATGAAACAATTAAATACGCATATGTTTCGGCGATACATATACAATATTACAGTTTTATTGGCCAATTCACCAGACACATCAATCCGAGTTCACAACTGTGAAATTTGTGAGCAATGGCCAAATTTCCAAAACACCGTCCAAAATAGTCAGACAGTGCCACAATGACAAATTCATTGGATGAAACGCAAGCCACGTGAATAATAAGAATGGTAGA